ATACTTGAAACATATTACTTGTATGGCCACTCATAAACCAGTGACGTTTTTTTCCTACAGCCCAATCCCAAATAACAACTGCTAAATCATCAGAGGCACTGGCTAATAAATTTCCTTTTTGATTGAAATTTAAGGCATTTACGCAACCCTATAAATAATCAAATGTTAATATATACCACTAAATAATCATTAAAAAATAGCCTAGCAATAATTCTATAAAACATCATATAGCTCAATGTGCAGCGTTTATAAGATGAATAATTTACCTGATGCTCGTTAAGATTATACATAAGCTCAAGTCGTTCTACTGCATGTAAAGAACCATAGAATCTTCTTTGGAATAACGGATTGCTACCTATTTGCCGATTTATCACTTCCGGTACAATACGCCAATTAGGAGGTGGTTTCTCTATTTTTAGGCAATGAGGTATTTCTTCGTCCTCATCCTCATCTTCCTCTTCTTCATCCCATTCATCTTCATTAGCTCTCCATTCATTCGAGTCGGCTGTTCATAATTTACAATTTTACATCTTACCAAACAAATAGTGCATTAAAAAAATATAAATACCTCTTTCGTCTTTATATCGATCAGATTCGTCATTGGGCGTTTCTGATCCTGCTCTATGAGTCTCTGTATTTCTATTTGATGTTTCATTCTGAGTCGAATCATTTTTAGTACTGGCAGATGCAACATTTCCTAAAATTATAATTATTTCCATGTATATAATTTATACATAATTATTAGTATTATCAAATATAATTATTTAACATTATTAATATATTTTTGTGAGCTTATGTATTATTCAACAAGACTTTTCAAATATAGTTATATCACAAAATTATAATTAATAAATACACATATCATTATATAAGAAAACACAATTACCTTCATCTGCATCAGGAATGGGAGTTTCTCTTGTTACTTCACTAGATAAGGTATTGCTAGAACTATCATCATTATCGCTTGTTATATTTCGTCTCTTACGATAATTTCGCTGTTTCACTTTTGATTTGTTCCTTTGAAACGTCATTGTATCATCATTTACGTTTCCAGTACTGGTGTTACAAGCATTTTTATTTAATTTCTGCCGCTTACTAGAATCTTCATCTGAACTATCGTCTGATTTTTCTATCGACGTGCCACTACCGGCATGTACTTGACCTTTAGAGATACTTCTTTTGACTTTATTCTGATCTGTGTATAATGCATTTGCTTCATTAGTACAAGAAAAAGATGGACTATTGTCTTGCGAAGTAGTTGCTTCTGATACATCAACCGAATTAAAATTGGTAGCACATAAGATTTCTTTTAACACATCATTGGTTTTGTCGCATTTATCAGTTGTTATCTTAATTTCATCTTCTGTACAAAGTTCCATAGGCTCGTTTGCTTGTTCATTTTGCATAGATCCACAAGCGAAATTATTATCAAATCCGACTATATGACTAGCGTCTTTTGAAATGACACTGCTGTTGGATGTAACACTAGAACTGTTTACATTCGTTGAGATGTTTGAATCTTCTAAAGAATTTGATTGCACTTTCCTAGATTCCTCAGACTCCTTGATGTCAGGAAATTTCACCTCAGAATCATTATTGACATCATGTATGTTATTTTTGGAGTCCATTTTCGAGATTTTAGATATATTCCTTTTGTTTATTCAGAATGTCAGCAATCATCCCTTCAAAGAGGCACAATCTGCAGTTGCAACATATCCAATGTTTATCTAAAAAGTGATGATTATAAAAATTTATATAATAAATAATAAGAAATCTCTTTACATATTACAAACTCATTATATATAAAGGATGTATATATTTAAATAAAATATTAATTTATGTATATATGTATACTTTATATATAATAAATATATTTTATAAGTTTGCATACATTTGAGTAAATTATTTTAAAAAATCAAGAAAAAAAATCCTTATCTACCCGAAATCTATCAACATCTATCAAAAACTTTTTTCTTAATTAAATGGACAATTTCATAGCATCCCAAACATTAAGGTCTGTATTCAGAACGCATAATGACATTATCGAATAATTAGTACATATAGTCCACATTGCACATAATTTATATAAAAATAAAAGCATGCATTTATCAATAAATTCGGGCTTATAAATCACAAAGTATTGGTATTAAATACAAAAGTAACAATTATTTTAAACTCGACAAATAAATATCAAGATTTTTTTTTAAAAAGCTTTACGTTACTATGACATTTCAAAGAGCCAAAACATTTCTCGTCAACGCTTTAAAAAATAAAAACTAAATTTAAAGTAGTTTATTTATCTCTCGAAAAATTCACCGATCTTTCAAAAAGATAAAACATTTTCGTTATCATAACTTTTTAAAGATAAAATTGAATTTAAAAGATTAACAAGAAGAATCCTGATGTTAGTCTAAAATGTAAATCATTGCAGAAAATTGCAAATTGTGTATCGAGGTTGTAGACACTAGCTAGAGGCTAGCACAACATCGTCGCTGATTTAGTACAATCGTCGTTCTTAACACAATCCCGCATTACCGCAGGAGAGAGCATTACCGCAGAAGAGAGCATTACCACAAAAAAAGGGTTGTGAATTATGGACATTAATCGCGCAACGATGGAATACGACGAGATCCCGCATTACATAAATTCGCCATTCGCATTCCGATCCCCTTTTTTCCTGCCCCTTCTTTTTAGTGGAATTATTTACTAAAATGGCCAGCGACGTACGCAATACAACATGTATATCGACACGGCTATGAACATACAGAGTTTTACCAATGGACGTTGAGTCTTTTCGATAATACGAACAAGACGTCGTAGGTCGTTTGAATGAAGAACAAGACACGAACCGCGGACGAGTCAGGACTAGCTGCCCTGTCGACGGAGTACTCACCTCGAAACTTTCACTGACGAAACGCGGTCTGGCCACACACAAAGGTTCCCAATCACAGCGCTACTATGATCACAATACGATGAACACACGGTAAGGTAAATGCACAACTCATAATCCCCGACACCCCAACCGAGGCTGCGATAGCTACTGACATAATGAATATAGGGTGCGTTTCGAATTATACATGAAGCGCATGTATCGTTTTATTCTTCTTTATTATTTGGTGAACAACAAGGACAAATGATGCATCATGCGCTTCATGCGAAATTCGGAACGCACCTATAGTGGCGGGAATTTAAATCTGTTCTTTGTGTCTGAGTTAAACTAATATATATACATAAATATAAATAAATATATTTATATATAATAATTAACGTTTAATAATATAATTAATGTTTAATGAGAGCCAGATAATAAGTTTTAATGAAATCCACTGCAATAACAAAGAACAGGTTTTTTTCTCGATTTTAGTAATAGATCTTGTCGCGTCAAAAAAAACGCGAAAAGAAAGAAGAAAGATAAGACGTTACAATCAATCAGTTGTTCCAATGGGATTCATTGTCAGCGAAGAGACCGCCAATTGGTCGACGCGAAAAATTCTCCACAATTATGTTTCAAAATTCATTGCCAGTGATAAAAATCTACAGAGAACAAGAATTTCAACCTAGAAGAATCAGAAATCATGTATTCTGGAATACACAATTTATGATAGGTTGAAATTCTTATTCTCAGTTCTCTATTCCTTTTATTGTGCGGAGTCCCTTACTGTTACAGAAATTTTATGTGCGACAGCACTTACCCCCTATTATCTGTAATAGATTTTTAAGCCTTATAATGTAAAAAAAGTGTATTTTTCAGAAAAAATTCATGTTGAAAGCAAGAAATTACTTGATTAACATGAAACTGGATACTTGGGGGTTTTCGGAATCGCTGATTACGAATCTGACCTCAGGTTTTCAAAATTCAAAATGGCAGACAAAAAATTTAAAAATTAGTTCTATAAAATGGGGTCAAGATTTTTTAGATCGCTCATTATGAATCTGAAGTCAAAATTTTTTAATTTTTTGTCTGCCATTTTTAATTTCGAAAATCTGAGGTCAGATTCGTAATCAGCGACTTAATCACCTCATTTTACAGAACTAATTTTTTAATTTTTTAAAACACCGAGTAAAAAATTTCAACTGAATTCTACGTAAAAAAAATGTGTGCCTCAAAGGATTAAATCTTAATGACACGCAACTTCGACACAATACGTTCTAAATTCTAAAGTATTACAAACTGAAAATAGTTAATTACATAACAAAATTTTATATGCAACTTTTTAGTCGCTGTGCGCTTACTCAGCAAAAAATCCCTGTATTCAAGTCTTCGTAGAATTATCAAAAAATTAAACATATTGCAACCTATTATAAAACATGTATTTCTCACTTTCTTCTCTCTTATCACAATCATATACAATATCAAAATGTAGTCTTCGTGTTTGTTCAATGTTCAAAAATTGTAATGTACAATAGCAAACTTATGTGTACAATTCGTCTCTAATTATTTCCAGTTCATATAAAATATTAATCGTAACTAAAAAAACGCAGTTTCTTTGATACATTGTGCAGTGCTGTACATTCCATAAATTCTGCTGTGTAAAATCCAATAAAAATAATTTACAAGCCATTCACACTATTTAACATTAAAAAAGAAAAACAGCAAATGTAAGTACAGTATAAATGATACGCGATTAAAATATTTATTATTAAATGATTTATATTTTTATTTCCAATTAATTCACTATTTTATTTGCGCATCAATTATTGAACTATATTTATTTGCCATTTTTCCCTCTAATTATGAAAGAATATCTAGTGTGTATGCTGTATAATTATTATCAATAATATCAAATCGCATTTATCAAATCATAACTTTAAGACGGAAAATACTCTATTATAAAAATTTGAATATCGATACGATTCCCTAACTTAAAAGCAACAATAATCTAAGAGCTCGAGGGAATAGGCGCTGTTCAGAACGCGCTAGTTGTTCAAAAAAATCTCGATATACAAAAAATCGATATACAAATTAAATTTATCGAAAAGACGACAGAATAAACAATACTCATTATTATATTTCTTTTATTGAATACTATATTGTTTCAAAATATCCTTGTCTCCCAATTGACTATCATTGACGTTTATTTAGCACCATCAATAAGTCGTCGGAATAATAGTCATCGATATTGGAGATATTATGATCGAAAAGATAATTTGGGTCGGAGAGATAATAATCGTTGTTGCCTCCTTGGTTTCCATTCACGAAACTCCTCAAATTCTAGAAAAGTCACAGAATAGTCAATTTGATATCGACAGATTTATGATATATTACTTTTATGAATTTTCATAACAAAAATTTTGTAAAGTAATCAGAAGAAGGAATCGTTTATCTTGCTTTCTACTCCTCACACTGAACTTGACGGACTTGTAAAGAACAGGAAACTGTTGCATGAATAATTTTATGATTTAGCAATACAATTAGTCTGTTGTGTTTAACTTAATACATTGCTTATTTTAGGAATTTTTGTGCCAAAAATATTATTTATTAATTATATTGTAAGATAAAGCAACAAAAGAAACGCAAAAAAATTATATACAAATGATTCTTATCTATACCTTCATTCTTGAATGTTGATTGTGCCGGAGATTCTCTGCTTGAAGGCGACCACATCCTAACATTGGATCCATATGTCGTCGCAAGAATGGGAATATGCGGATGACCCACTAAGCAACTTACCTATAAATTAAATTTAAAAAAGTTTAAAAAAGTTTAAAAAAATATGATATGCATAAACTACAAAAAAAAATTATTTATCAAATGTACGAAATAGAAAAACTCAACTCTTTTGCTAAAAAATGTATGATTGCTATCGTACAGTGGCAATTGCTGTACACCAGCTCCTGTATCCTTGTCATAAATGAATATATCACCACAATTGGATCCAGACATAATATATTCACTATTAGATCCGAAAAAATTAATTACCTCTACTGTAATCAGAACACATGAACGACAATACTTAATATCAACTATTAATAAAATAGAATTATTTAAAGCATTGCTTTCAAACATATAGACGAATTTCAAAAGATAAAATCTGTTCGCGTTGCTTGCAATTTTTGCACTAAGTATCTTCTCTTCTTTCGTTTTCTTTCTCTTCAACGCGTGAATATATATTTATTTCACTTTAAGGGCAAAAATTTTTCCAGATTTCAAGCAACGCGAACAGACTTATATACATAAAAAAATTGTTAAACAAAAATCTCAAAATAAAAATTAATTAAAAAGTGAATATTGTTATTTCATGTTTGTTTTTTTCTCTTGAAATATACATAACATAAAGAGATCTAAGAATAAAAAAAATATAAAGTCGAGAGTATAAAATACAATAATGTAATTACATTTTATACGAAACTTTTTCACGTGCACAGACTGAAATGGAGGTTTTTCGTACATATGTTTCCAACTTTCTTCACATGACTTATTGATCCACATTGATTTATCAAATAACAATATACTATCAAAATTGCACAATGCGAGAATTTCTGTTCCATTATGATTATACATAGCGGTTCTTATAAACGGGGACTCATTCTAAACAATTTCAATTACATATGTAAAATTAAAACTCACATTAAAAATAAGCAAATACTATTTCTTTAAGTATTGATAAATTTTTAAGCAATAGGATTGTAACAAACCAACGTACCATGTCATATCTGGACCACAATTGATAAAGCGGCTTTGAAACATTTCGCCGATCATACACCCTCACGCAGAAAGAATCGCCACTGACGCAAAATTCATTACTATTAGAAGGATTACAATGTATACTGTATAGACTAATATTTTGATCTTCTCTTACCACAAGTAATCTATGGATGAACATAAATATATGATTACGTTTATACGGATCGATTTATGCCAAAGTTGTAACATCAATGTTAGGAAACTGATGAATCACTAATTCTATTATTCAGAAGAACAATTATGATTGACCAGTTTTATAACATCGACTTTATAACTTGGTAAACGTCTATATTATAAAAGATATATATATATATAAGTGTTACAAAAAAAAAAAATAAAAACACCTTTATTATGTAACTCAAAGCTTAGTATTGCGAGTATATAAAACTTGTTTTTACTAACGTAGATTAAATTTAATCTTGATTCAACTTATTTTTTCTCTTTTTCTAATCCTAAAAAAAGAAAAAATATAAGTTGAACCGAGATTAAAATTAATCTACATTTATAGAAACAGGCATTAAGTCCATTGCAAACAATGTAAGAGTAATTTTAATTTCGGTTTAACTTATTTTCTGTTTTTCTAATTCTAAAAATTAGAAAAAGATAAACAGTAAATTGACCGAGTTAAGTTAATCTTAATTGAATCGAGCCGTAATTGTCATATCCAATGATTTAGGATACCAAATTACGAGATTAATTGGCATATATACATGGGACGATCCCGCGCTACATTTCGCATACATTTAGCGGCAAACAATATGACGACTCTTGATACAAACATTAATATTATATAGATATTTTGCATGCTATAAACAAAGAGTATATAAAAAATATAACTATTACACATTTGAACTTTTTAGTAACAATGAACTCACTCATTTGGAGTATTTTCTCGGATATCTATGGAAAATACTTTTGAATCAATTCCAGCAGAAAACACCACATAAGGTGTTTCAGGATGCACAGCCAAAGTTCTCGTTTTATGAAAATCCATTATCAGTTTCGATGCATTGTGTTCAAGATCTAATAAACGTATAGTACCATCAACATCACAAATGACAATAAAATTTTCCACGTCTAATGGCAACCATATGGCCTAAACGCATACAATTAAAATAAGAAGATTAATTAGAAAAGGAAAAATATAATTAAATCAAAATAACTATTACAAAATATTCTAATACAATACTTTATGTATAAGTACATACTTGCAATATAAAGAAACAATTAATCGTAAAACAGTGACGCTTTTTCCTTATAGCCCAATCCCAAATAGAAACAGAATTTCTACACGCACTCACTAATAAATTTCCTTTTTGATTGAAATTTAAGGCAGTTACGAATTTCTATAAATAACAATCAAATGTTAATACATATCACTAAATAATAATAAAAAAATAAAGTATAATGTATGATCCTAAGATAATACATATAACATTGTAAATATATAGTTTAAGGGATTCTCCTCTCCATATGTTGTCAAGGTCATGACCCTGAGTGACCTTGAGAAAGTTTTAACCATCGGACGTCACTCGTAAAATAGAAATATTCTATTTTAAAGTGTATTTTACGTTTCATGCGAAGTGACTCCCATCCCATTTCCCTCCCTGCTTGAGGGCGCATGACATTCTAAAGAATATATAAGTGAAAGTCATCCCCAAGCAGACAGGGAAGTGGGATAGGAATCAAAATTTTCATTTTATATAGCAAAAATGTCACGTTGTTTCTTAAACTTCTTTTGTTTATAATTTTTTAACGAGTGATGTCTGACGGTTAAAACTTTCTCAAGATCACTCAGTTATGACCTTAATAATTAACAATATGTCAAGATCAAGATGATGAGAGGAGGGTTCTCCTAAACTACATATTTACCCATTGTATATAACTCAATACATTTACAAGGTGAAGAATTTACCTTATCATTAAGACTATACATAAACTCGAGTCGTTCCATTGCAAGTAAAGAACCATGAAATCTTCTTTGGAATAACGGACTATTACCTATTTGCCGATTTGTCACTTCCGGCACAATGCCAAACCAATTAGGAGATGATTTTTTTATTTCTAAGTAGTTAGTAGACGGTTTCTTTATTCCTAAACAATATACAGAAAACATTTGTTTGTTCTTATCCATATCTTTCTCTTTCTTCATCCAACTTAGACTCATTAGCAATAGAACATTCGTCTAAGTCAGCAGCTATTCAAAATTTAAAATTTTACATTTTATTAAACAAGTGCAAAATTTAAAAAATATAAAATACCTCTTTTGTCTTTGTATTGATCAGATTCATCATTAAACATTTCTGATTCTGCTCTGCTAATCTTTAAACTATTTGATGATTCTTTCTGAACTGAATCATTTTCAGTGTAAGCAGATGCAACAT